GCTCAGGTGAACACCTCCTAGGAAAGCCTTCAGCGTTTCCTGGACTGTTTTCCACTGAGGATTACGTCGTATTTTATGTATATTTCTAAAAGCACCTTGCAGTTTTTCTACCGTAACACCGTGTGTTCACGAGCACAACAAAACCGCGACAGATCACCTGACTGGTTTTAAAGCGAGGGCTGCACCTGTCCACACACATCATGGCTCAGACCTGCCTGGGACTTCAGCGTCCACATGTCAACCCCTTCAGACGGTTACTTGTATAATGAGCATCAAAAATCTGTCATTTGTGCAAAAAATCTGTATTAATCACACACGGGTGGGGGAGGAGGAGGTGGGGCGTCTCTTAAAGACATATCAATGTTTGACTTTTATTGTTTCTAAAATCACAGAGTTCTCTGAGTCAGCTTCAGATGTTTGTAGTTCATCATAATATCTTCTAAATTTAACCAGGTGTTTCACTGACTTTAAATTACACAATCATTTTACTGCAGAAACTTGTCAGTTTGGTTTAAAAAAAAGTAAAAATATTTTTTCTGTGCAGAACTTCCTCTGCTATAATTTATTTTAAATAAATATATCAAAGCTCCTCAGTTGAAAACACTAAAATGATAGAAAAGATGTTTAAAAACCTCTTTCATCATAAAGCCTTCAGTCCTAAGAACACTAAACTGTAACTTTTAATAAGTACACAGTTTACTCCTATTTAAAAGAAAATGTTTGAGCTGTAAGCAGAAAGCTTATAGATGTTGGTTTTTGGTCTCTATTTCAAAGAGGAGAAGGAGAACGCGTTAACCTGATGACTGTGAACATTTGTATACAGAACAATATACTTATTAAATTAAATTTTATTTTCCATTTTCAAAAACATGCCCAGAGTCTGACTTTGACTCATTCATGCATGTTTGATAAATCCTGAGGCAGCAGGCAGGGGAGCAAAAYGACMRGTTGGGACTAGAACCTCCCCTTGGGACCAGCTCCTCCTCTGGGCCGTGTCTCCAAGCTGAGCTTCCTCATCACAGAGCACACCTCCCCACCCCCACCCCGCCTGTGACTCCTGCAGGCTCTCGGCAGCAACAAAGCAAACAACTGGTGAAACTGAAAGTGAAACTGAAACTATCAGCAGAGCTCCCAAAACTACTTCTAAGTGCAGCTCTTTTCAAATTCAAAATCCCTTTGAGGAAAAGTATTTTCAGCTGCCAGGTAAACTACACTGAGCTTCTGCATCACAGCGTGGCTGAGAGCGCAAACCAAGAGCAAAAAGTTTAAAACAGATTATCTGGACCAGGGGCCTCGTGTTCAAASACTTGAGTGGATTTAATCTTTTTGAATAAAATAGTCTTTTTAAAAAAGAAATCAGTCTAACAAATAAAACATTTGTATGTTTTAAGTTATTTTGCTCTGTGTAAAAGACAGACATTTACTGGTTGGCCTGGAGAGTGGAAAGCTGGTTTAACCAAGGCTGAAGATGCAGAAGGTCAAACTACAGGAGCTGTCCATCTGAGGGACATGTTAGTCTAAAAGACATTTAACCAKGAAATGTTCAGTTTGTGATGTTTATATGACATACACCCAGCYCCTCGGACACTTAGCTAGTTTACAACATTAATGCAGAGTAAATAAAATTAATAAAAAACTTGTTGGACTGCTGATAGGAGTCATAAAACAGAACAGGGGGACGTTAGATGACCTGACACCCCTCTAGATAAATGTGTTAAATGAGTGAAGGAAAATATGAGTGAGCACCAAGCAACAACCCAGGTTCTCCCCTGAGRACCAGAACAAAGGTTTTATCTACAACCCTGAATATAAACCATACAGAAAGCTACAGATCACAGTAACAAATGCATTTACCACCGTTCAAGAAGATTATATACAGATTATATGTTTATCATCCTGCCCCACTGCTCAGCATTAATATGACCACTGTATACTGGGATTTTCTCTGGTAAAAACTGCTTTAATATAACGCCATACTACAGTAATTATTACATTATATTAGTGCACAACAACCTGTGTCCACTTTGTTATTTTAGGCAATAATGACAACATTTGAGCAGGTAAAGGTTGTTTATCTGATGACAAGTTCTCATGAACCAAAATAAACATTTTAATAAACACAACAATCCAAACTTTATACATTTATAACCTGCTCCATCCTTTTCTTTTGTTTGCCTCCAAACAATCCCACAAACCATTGCGCGCCGCTTCCGGTAGGTGGCGCTACACCGTCTCCTCGAAATAGTCCGTGGATTATTAACAACTACATAATCTGTAGTTTTAATCTGAAGGCAGCCTTTTGATTAAACACTCTTTTATTTTGGTAAAAGCCTGACATGACCCTGTGGACTGTTGTAGTAAATTAATGAGTACTTTCAGCAGACACACTTCCCTAAACAACTGTTTTTGTTTGTTTTTAAATCACTTCCGGYACATCACCACCTCTGTAGGTCCATATTAAAAATAAGAGATAAAGACCAGGAGCAGTCTGTGGTCTGTGTTCAGTCAAACATGGCGGACGACCTGTTTCTGAGACAGAATATTAACAGGTCAGACTCACATGTAGTCGATGAGCCGCTGCCATGTCTTCTTCTTCTTCATATCTTCTGTTTGTTGGCGATTAGCAAACAACTTGTGGTGTACATTACCGCCATCACTGCCATGTTGAACATCAGCGGCTGGGCTGCACGTCTCCCCCGGTCAAATACCGTAATGATGGAAGTAAAGACGCAGCCAGCAGGTGGAAGGAGGTCACACAGAATACACAACTAATAAGTCTGGGTTTACCATTGCTGTACTTTGTGGCATCATAACAGAAAAAAAGACTGCGGTAAAGCCAGCCCCCACATCCAAAACCACAGTCAATCCAGCACTCACCCGATATTGAAGTGCGCATGTGCTTCATTCTTTACGGTACTCTCCTATTGGAGCGCCTTTCAAAATAAAAGCGCACTTCTAGTTTACATCCTGCAGCAAAATAATGTTAAACTTCCCAGGTTGTAGAGGTAAGTTAATTGAACATCTGGAATATGTAGGACATGGCAGGTGTAGACTTTATTCCATTTAACAAATTAATAATACAGTATGACCTTGACAAGAAATATTTCTTAGAATATTAACAAATCAAGTCTATAATAAAATAAATTTAAACTCAATAAAACATTGTTAAAAACACCAGGAAGTGTATTAGAGTTCCTTCATCTTAAACCCCCCAAATTGCTATCTTGTTAAAAACATCCCAGACTTTAATCAGAGTGTAACTGAGATGTTTTTCTGCTCAAAGACAGAAGGACAAAATTCTTTACAGAAAATGAAACCCAACATTACATTAGACATGACATGACATTAGACATGACATTAGACATGACATGACATGACATTAGACATGATATTAGACATGACATGACATTAGACATGACATGACATGACATTAGACATGATATGACATGACATTAGACATGACATTAGACATGACATGACATGACATTAGACATGACATGACATTAGACATGACATTAGACATGACATGACATGACATTAGACATGATATTAGACATGACATGACATTAGACATGACATGACATTATACATGACACGACATGACATTAGACATGACATTAGACATGACTTTAGACATGACTTTAGACATGACATTAGACATGACTTTAGACATGACTTGACATGATATTAGACATGACATGACATGACATTAGACATGACATGACATGACATTATACATGACACGAAATGACATTAGACATGACATTAGACATGACATTAGACATGACTTTAGACATGACTTTAGACATGACATTAGACATGACATTAGACATGACTTTAGACATGACTTTAGACATGACATTAGACATGACTTTAGACATGACATGACATGATATTAGACATGACATGACATTAGACATGACATGACGTTAGACATGACATGACATTAGACATGACATGACATGACATTATACATGACACGACATGACATTAGACATGACATTAGACATTACTTTAGACATGACTTTAGAAATGACATTGGACATGACTTTAGACATGACATGACATTAGACATGACATGACATTAGACATGACATGACATGACATTATACATGACA